GGGAAACGATGATATGCGAAGCACGAATGAGAAAGGCCGATATGTCACTTTAAAATCAGCGCAACGTTCCGAGGCGTACGTAAATTATGCCGTACAAGACTTCCGTGTCATGATTATCATGCTTGCGCCTGACAATTGTGTTCGTCGTCCATTCACGTCACGTAGCATGGCATGTAGTCATGTTTTTACATGACACGCATCTCATAATTGTCATGTTGCAGCAGTCATATACCTTTGTCATCCATTCCTGTCCCGTAATAGCCAATTTGATACATTGTGAAGCTAGCGAAACGACCGTGAGCGCACCATGAGCGTGACGTGTAGTCGTGACTTACATAATATGCATGTCACGATTTCCACGTTAGCGTCTGTCACTTACGTTCGCCATGCAGTAATGTCATACTATACCAGTTTTCCAATATGTCATGTAAACGAAACGACCGTAAGAGCAGCAAAACAATGAAATGTAAATCATGACATACACGTCATGATGTTTTATGAGTTATGACTAGTCACTTATATTGGTTATACCGTCATGTTATTCCATACCAATTTTGACATTCATACCATTATCGAAACGGCCAGGAGAGCTAAAAGGTGGTGGTGGTGGTGGTGGTGGTGGTGGTGTTGTTGCAGCAGGCGGGGTTAGCCTGGCCTGCATGGCCGGCAATTGTTCCGCCTGAGCATCTCCTGAATTTGGAAAATGTCACCACGTGTCAGACAGCCCAGTGTCTCGCAGGAAGACCAAAAAAATTCGTTGCACGTTCATCCTAGTTGCCGCGGGTCCTTCAGGAAAGATGATGTCATCAACTGTCCGGTGCCTATGACAGCCTTTTCGCAAGGTGCGGATCATCGCTGCTCTTTGCGCATCAAACTGTGGGCAAAGCCAAATGAAATGTTCAATATCCCCGATGTCACCACAGAAGGCACAGAACGGGGAAGCGTATCTCCCAGTCTTGAATGACCAGGCCGGGGTGTATGCGGAGCCGGTTCTTATGCGGTAGAACAGCCACCACCAGGAGAGCTAAAAGTCGTAGGTGGCTAGATAGATAGATAGATAGATAGATAGATAGATAGATAGATAGATAGATAGATAGATAGATAGATAGATAGATAGATAGATAGATAGATAGATAGATAGATAGATAGATAGATAGATAGATAGATAGATAGATAGATAGATAGATTTGATGATTGATATGTGGAGTTTAACGTCCCAAAACCACTATATGATTATGAGAGACGCCGTAGTGGAGGGCTCCGGAAATTTAGACCACCTGGGGTTCTTTAACGTGCACCCAAATTTGAGCACACGGGCCTACAACATTTCCGCCTCCATCGGAAATGCAGCCGCCGCAGCCAGAATTCCGACCCGCGCCCTGCGGGTCAGCAGCCGAGTACCTTAGCCACTAGACCACCGCGGCGGGGCAGATAGATAGATAGATAGATAGATAAATAGATAGATAGATAGATAGATAGATAGATAGATAGATAGACAGACGGACAGACAGACAGACAGATAGATAGATAGATAGACAGACAGACAGACAGACAGATAGATAGATAGATAGATAGATAGATAGATAGATAGATAGATAGATAGATAGATAGATAGATAGATAGATAGATAGATACGCTCAAAGTCGCCGAATTTCGCTAAAAAAATTCTTCGAATTCAATACGTCTGCACTGTTTTAACGCGACAGCATAAAACAGCTCGTTTTGCTGAAATGTCGGTGTGGGCGTCGGCGTCGTTTGTTGTGAGTGAAAAATCATCATCACGTCTGCGACCAAAAAATCACAAAGATGCAAATGAAAGAAAAAAGTCACAGCTTTGCTGCGAAGGCGAAGCAATGAACGTGATAGCAACAAATTGGAAGGTCACACGCAGAATGGCAAGCATGTCGAAACATGCCGCACGTTTCTCACGCAAAAATGACGCCCGAAACGTACTCACAGGTACAGATGAACGCTAATAAGCGTCTCAGTTGCATGTCGCTGTGTCTGAAAAGCGCACCCTTTCCGCAAACGGAGGCTGTGCAACGATTGCTGTGACCTTTGTGCGCCCCGTAACTACAACGAAATCGTTCCGGTGAAGGCCCAAGGCCAGCCAAGGCATACCATTGTCCCCACCGCGAGATAAGGGCGCGTGAGAAATCGTCTACTCACCTCCTCTCCGCGGGCCGAAGTACGCTTGAGATATGAGAGCCGCCGCGCGATGATTGCGCCATCTTGCTTATAATGCTAAAACCATGAGAGTCACGCCCGAGATGCCCGCCAACAGCTGTAAGTGGCATATATAAAGAGCTTGCCGTTGGACCGTTGAAGGAAGTACCTCTCAGTGGCTCATTAATAAAGAAAAAAAAAACCTCTCAGTGGCTCAGTGGTTAACGCCTCGCATTCACGCCGCGGAGGTGCCACGTTCGATTTCGCGCGCCGTAGTCTATTTACTGGATTTTTTTCTTCCGTTTTTTTATATCGATACGTATACATATGCGGTGCATGACATCGACGTCGATGCCGGCGGCGAAATGCAGCCGAGAGTGTGCATATAATTGCTGTCGCAATAATAATTCAGGCTCCAACCGAGACGGCAGAGGAGGCGGCCGTCGCTCTCGCGTTGGCCACCACCGGTGACTCGCATCGGTGACTCGCAAGCGGCTATATGTAACTATGCTAACAGCCGTGTCTCCTGAGGGGCGCTGCAAATCCTGATGAATATTGAAAAGAAAGTTCTGAAGAAAAATCACACTTTCAGAATATGGACCCCCGCACACACAGAAACTCCGCTGGCCGGCAACGAAGCGGTGCACGCGGTGGCTCGAGAGCTCACGAACCGAGCCGTTGCGAACGCCGACGCCGCCTCGACCGAAGATCTACCAGGGGAAGTGGGATTGGGAGGACCGCATGACCACGTCAGACATCGAAAGATGCTAATGGAGCAACGAGTGGGTGTTTCAAAGGCCCACCCTTTCAAAGCGCTCAAGCATATTCAATCATCAGCAGCAGTATAGAACCGTAAACAATGTAAACAGTTGCATAGTGTCACGTGTTGCCCTATACCAATGCGTATGTGGGCGTCCTTGGCTGATTCCCAGAATGAATAATTATGAGGAAGTGGGAACGTTACAACTGTGCTTGCAATAGGCATTCGATGACACTTTGAAGTTTAGAACGGCCACTGTTACGTGCATGGTCGTTTGTTTTCTCACGGCATGATTGAGGCCTGCACCGAGATCTGAATCACGCTAACAGTTCAGGCAGTGATGCGCACGCCCTATTACGCTATCGCGATCTGCACTTGAAGGCGAAGATGAAGCGTCTTTCGAGTTGTAGGGGCGAAACTTCTCTTAGTCTAGCCTCGTCCTGCGTCAGGCGTAACCGGCAGTATCTCACGAAGCGCGGTGGCTCGTGCTCGTCGCCAGACAGACGGACGGACGGACGGACGTTTCGCCCCACTCATCATCATTCACTCCGTGGATATGCATTTTTTTTCGCTGCCTCTTTCTTGCTTCACACATGGTGGAACACGGAGATTAGAATTGTCCTCCGCCTAGTGGCGCAAAGTGGGAAACTCGTATTATGCTTTGATTATCCACATCTGATATGTACTATAACATAAAACATTGCATTTACAAAGTGAACCCAGGGCTGATCGCTGAGTTACCGCTGGGTTTAATGAGCTTGTGGAGATAGCTTGCTCGCCGCAGTTTTATAACGCACTGGTTGACCAACATGGCGGTCTTGGTGACGTAAAAGCAGCAGGATCACATCGCGCTTGATCGGCTTCAATATAACAATGATAAGGCCAGAATTTCAAGGTCCTCTATCCATAAACAACGAAATCACTTGCAGGTGATGCACTGATAGCACTAACTCATGACGTCACAAACCTTTCGTGTACTATACGGTTCTCCAGCATGACGTTTTCACTGACGTCAGTGCACGATGTATAATTCTCACTTCTTCACACTCAAGACCTTAGCGATCGTTTGAGATGCGTTGTCAAACCGCCATAATGGTCTAATGTATAGACCACCATAGTTATAGGACGTGACTGCTGTACCGAAGGTAGCGGGTTCGAATCCCGGCCGCGGTGGCCTCTGTTTGATGGAAGTGAAACACTGGAGGCCGCGCCCCGCCACGGTGGTCAAGTGGGTAAGGTACTCGGCTGCTGACCCGCAGGTCGCGGGATCAAATCCCGGCTGTGGCGGCTGCATTTCCGATGGGGGCGGAAATGTTATAGACCCGTGTACTCAGATTTGGGTGCACGTTAAAGAACCCCAGGTAGTCGAAATTTCCGGAGCCCTCCACTACGGCGTCTCTCATAATCATATGGTGGTTTTGGGACGTTAAACCCCACAAATCAATCAACTGAAGGCCGTATGCATATTCAAGTCCGTATAGACGAATTTTCTGGATTTCTCGGTTACGGCGTCTGTTACAATCATAGCGTGGTTTTGGGACGTACAGTCTACAATTAATGTTATTACTGTGTAGTAAAAAAAAAAGAAAGCGAAGCCCGTACTTACGTAAAAAAGAAAATCAAATGTGTTAGCAAAGGCGTACGGTGGCTGTATCAATGTCAACGCGTATTGCTTTCTTATTTGTTAACTCATTTTCTTATTTGCTTTTGTTGTTCCAAGCCGTATATTTTTGTTCACTCGACCCCCCTAAATCATCTGTAATTTTCTCTCGGACGCACATCTCATTACTCGTTCACGGTCATTTATGTCATCCTTGTAGTCACGTAAACGCACTCACGTTGAAAAAAAAGGAAGACAAAACACGAAGAAAAAATGCATGCACTACTACAGTTGTTGGTGGGGAAGAGAAGGCCTGCCTGGATTTCCAACTCAAGCGGAAGCGTGGGCACGCGTTTGGTTGCGCGCAGCTGCGCCTGACGATCAAAGTGTAGCGAGTAGTGACGGCTGCCACGCGGGAGTTAATTCAGCCTGCTCGCGTATCTCACCCTGACCGTGTTCTCCACTCTGTCGCAGACGAGCACAGCTGCGAGGCCGAGGTGAATGTATTCTTCGAGGAACTCGGCACGGGCTCTCCTTCGGACGTCAAGGATGCCGCCGAGGGAGGCGACGATGTCGAACACGAACGCTCCAGTGACACCGAGGTCTCGCTTCACAGGTATGCCAGCCCTTTGCATATGCGTGCATGGCCGACAGCCGATAAGGCTTGATTTGTTGGCGTGCCTCTTCTGGCAGCTGCATTACTGCGCAGCGGCTGCCACGGAAGCTGCTGAGAATTGTTTTTAAAGTGCTGTTTTTGAGGACACCGTTGTGTGCTGCGAAGCTGCGTACGGGTATATAAGCATACGCTGAATGTAACCGTTTCTTCAGTTTGTGTGGAGAACTTCCGATTACATATAAATAGCTCTCCTAGATGGCACGTTAACGAAAGCCCTTTTATAAAATGTCTGCAAGTATTTCGAACAGTTTGCATACAGGTCAGTTAACAAGTTTAGTTGTTCAGTGGTTTAAGCAAACTTGAGGTGAACGCACGATAGCAGTGTCCTCGTTCGTCTCTGTTTGGTCCACTCCTCTATGGTTTTGTGCTACCAGTCAGTCTACAAAAGACGTTACTGGTAGAAAAAAATCACTACCCAAGCACTCCGTGCAGATGGTTAACTAGCGAAGATGAAACGTGTGGCCATAGGCGGACGCAGACACCGCAGTTTAAGCCACAAGCCACTCGAGAAACTCCTGCCGAAAGCGGGCCTTGGCGAACGCTTTCCCGTCATTGCCACATTCTGCCCCTTGTATGTCGTTTCCTGGGCTCACCGTTATCGCTTGCTCGGAAGGGTCGTCAGTTGCTATACGCCATCTATTTTGTGCCCGGGCATCAATCTAACATGAATTTTCTCGTGGATCAGCTTACGACGCGGTTCGTGGAAAGTTGTCTGCTGGTCGGACGTTCGTGCGATCTACGGCCCGTCCATGCATGTGGAAGTTGTAAGCTCAAACTGCTGCGCGCGGGCTCGGCGACACGGCTGTAAAGAGACGAACGACATAACTGACGGCGCAGGCAATGGAGAACTCGTTGCTAGTGGTTTTTTGTTTCGCCTAGACATATAAAGTTTTCGCTGTAATAATTTTATAAAGTGTTTACTCAATCTTGGCGTATAAAATTGCAGCAGTCTTAAATTTCAATATGAGGTAGATATGCAACATGCCCGCAACATTACGTTCTTCGTGGTTTGCAGTCATGTTTCGAATGTCCATCATGATGCGTTGGTCCGTATCGACCAGAATAATATGTGCATCCTTTTAACCTGTTTCCCTGTGGGAAGTACACGTTCCTAAGGGCTATTGCTTTGGGATGTTTCTGTTGAATCTAGATGACTCTAATAAATCAATCAGTCCGTCAATGAAATCTATCCAGTGGCTGTAAGAGCACGGCCGCTGGATAAAAAACGAGGTTTTTTTTATCCAGCGGCCATGGTAAGAGTGGCTCAGGAAACAAAAAGCCGTACGCTTAGCTTGCATGAAGCAACTCCACCAACGCGAGCGCGATTTCGCCTCTCGCTTTCATTAAGACACCTGTTTTCCCCGACCAGCACAGGCGAGGAACCAGTCACGCTGATTATCCTGACCAGTGTGTGTTAAAGGCAGCCAGTTGTTTTCTTGTCCTCTATACTTGACGTACACGTGCGACTAGCGTGCAGTTGTCGTCATTGTGTTTCCGAGACCGGGGCTATCGCGAATACGCATTCTTTCCTAAATATTTTGCCGCTTCAACCGGGCAGCAACCTTGACCACTATAGTATCACCTTATTAAGTATTGAAACCGTGTTTTTATTTTGCCTTTGCATTTTAATAAATTCTATACTGGGGTCACTGGTGGTCGCGAAACCTTTTTTTGTCGTACTTAAAACGCATAACGTGTCGAAGTAGCTTCTTGTTAATAGCACGGGGATAAGGGCAGGGTCAGTTTTGATGGAGCATATCTTAGTTCGTTATCTCATCATGTTTCCGCGAAAAAAGAAAAGCGCCTCTTCAGTTGATGCTATATATAGTCAACAAGGGACACGTGTGTCAGTCGCAACAAATGGCTGCGAAGTATTGTTGGCAGCGCCACAGCGGCAGGAATAGTGTTCATGAGCCTCCTTTGAAGCTTCGCCGCAATTGTCATCACCTGATGACGTGAAAGCATGGCACATCGCTCTAACGGGCTCAAACTGTCGCTCATTAGGCACTTTTAGTTGGGCGTACGTAACGAGCCTTCGTACGTGGCACGATACATTGCGTACGCTGCATGCGAAGCGCTCAACGACACTTTTATTGGTTCACCGTATTGACCGTACTGAGATATGTCTGGTTCAACTAGACGTATGTTCTTAGAAATAAAACAGTTTTTGGGTGCTTTTTAGCGCCCTCATGCGGGAGCAGCGCAACATCGTCCCTCAAAGTAAAATATACTCGATTTGGGCCGGCTTTGTTGCTCTCTGCGTTTGACGCCGTCGCTGCAGTTTTGCTATCTGGTTCCTATTTCAATCGAGATATTGCGTCACGCTACGTAGGGTTCGGCTCGTCACGTTTACGCACGCTGCGTTTTTTTTTCCTTTATTTCGGGCCTACACGCGCATCTCTGGAATCAATGCGTTGCGTACTGCACATACGCAGTTCTCTCCCGTGGCAGCGCTGCGTAGGTGGGCTCGTTACATACGCCCAACTAAAAGTGTCTATTATAATGACAACGCCGACACGTCTGACACCCCCAGAATTTTTTTTTTCGACGACGCTAGCCTGCTTCGTGTGGTGAGACAAACAAGCTCCGTGGGCTACTGCAGCTCTAGAGTAAGCCGCGAAGCCGCCGCATATTCAAGCTCTTGACGTGAGCCAGATAAGCGCGCGCGAGCGATGCAGGGATGCTGATGGCGTTATTTTTTTTTAGCGTCTAACGAGTGGTGCCTCGCAAGCTACTTCGCTCGTGGCTTATCAAAACAGCGGCGTCCATGTGTCTGCATGAGCCAACACCTTACCCAGGAGGCGCGCGCACAAGGGATCTCCCACACGGCACGGAGTGCGATGTTTGAACACGGGTGGGCAAAAGGTGTAGCCCAACAAATTGTAAATATAGTGTAGGGATCGCCAGACGAATGTGTGGTTGTTTCGTGAAAGCCAACGTTCTTTACTTTTTACTCTGCGTTGGCTCTTTACCAACGGGTGGTGCGCTCACGCAAGTGCACGTCTTATAAAAAGCTGCAGCAGTGGCGTTTCATAGGGAAAATTCCCATAGGCATTTTTAACCACGTGGTATGAAAAACAATCGCAGCATATCCATAGAGTGAATCATATGATCTGTGGAGCGAAGCTTCAGATGATTTTATTGGCAAACCATGAATTATCGGCTGGCCGTGTCTTTGTGTAGGTCTGTCTGTCCATCTGTATGTATGTATGTATGTATGTATGTATGTATGTATGTATGTATGTATGTATGTATGTATGTATGTATGTATGTATGTATGTATGTATGTATGTATGTATGTAGGTATGTATGTATGTATGTATGTATGTATGTATGTATGTATGTATGTATGTATGTATGTATGTATGTATGTATGTATGTATGTATGTATGTATGTATGTATGTATGTATGTATGTATGTCGGCCCGCCCGTCCGTCTTTCTGTATATCTGTCCGTCTCTCTAATGAACACGCCATATACCGCCATCGCGCATCTTTTGATCATTTATTAATTATATACAAGTACCACTATCAAGCGGACATTACAAGGACTAAAATGAGAGGTGGCTACTACATACAGGAAACGTTCCGCCTCTAAAAAAAAGACCTCGCTGGGTCTCTTGTGCACTAGCCTTTGCGAGTCGAATGCCAAAGCCATCTACTTTTTCTTCCTCTCAGTCGATGTGTATGAGGGAGGCAGCAGGAAACACGAGCGGTGGCTTCACATGCCGTTGCCAAGCGAAGTCTTCATTATCTTCTATGTCGCGAGCTTTCGGGTTTTGGTCACCGCCCAAAGGAGGACGCTACAACGGCATCGTGTGGTGTTAACATGATGCCACGCCAGAACTGGTGACGTTTTGATGACGTTGTAAAACATTGCTATTTGTGACGTCATGATGCGGTGACGTTATCACGTGGTGATTTCTTGCGTCCCGCCGCCGCCCCTGTTTGATGAGGCATCTAAGGTTTTCGCCTTAATAAACAAGATGGAATGGAATGGATAAAGGAATAAACTGAAACTCACGGGCACATCGACAATGCATCGGAAGCTTTCCACATATCTCCTGCGTCTGGTGTGGGCCAACCAGTGACCGTGCCATGATTTAGTGTGGCATCATCATGAGACGTAAGATGGACTTAACGCTATTTGGCGTTGTGTGACAAGCCACAATAGAGAGTTTTAGCAGAGCGGGCCAGCGGCTAGCGGAACGGAGCGGACCAGCGGAAACGCCACTGCGCATGCGCCAGTACGCTGAGGCGGCGAGCGGCTTTACGGCGCTGCGCGCTCGCCCGCTCGTTTCGTCATCCCAGCGCAGCGCGCAGCGGCGGCCGGGCGAGCGAGCGTAGTTATTCAAAATGGCTGCCTCCAACGGTCGCGGTGTCGCGTCGCCGGCCGTGGTCGCATCGAACGCTTCTGAAACAAAAATGCAACCAGCTAAAAAGCCCCGGAGGTGCTTCAGTGCTCACGAGGACCTCTGTCTTCTTCGGGAGGTGGCCGCGGCGAAGCCGTTTGGCGATGACATCAAGTGGGTGCATGTTCTCGCTGCGGTGAATCGGGCGGTGGGCCGGGAGCTCACCCTAAGAGGTATAAAAGATCGTGTAGACATTTTGCTGGGATACTGGAAGCTGCAGAACTCCAATCCACCAAATTGGCGCAGCACCACAACACATAAGACAACACCACCACAACACGTAAGTAGAGAAACATCTCCAGTGGGATCACATTTCCTACACGTAAACTCAAATACAACTTTATTTAAAATACAATGGTTCAGACTCGAGGACGCCTAAGGTTGTAGATTATTTATTTATTAGGAGGTAACGGCAAGACATCACTGCGCACCAGCATTTTTCCTGCGACGAGGGGTCTAAACGGGTAGTTCCAGCGAAAACACGTTCGGCTGGTTAACAATTTGAAAACTGCTTTTCAAATGTAAGTGTATGTCTTGCCGGAACAATACAGGTAATTTCATTGAAAATGAGATACTGTCGTGTTGTACCTAGAAGTCCTCAGGTAATAGAATCTTAATTCTTTGATAAATTGTCGGCTTCATTGCATCTGTCATGTTTTTTTTAAGTGTGAAAGGATCCAGCGTCAAGTGTAAACCTGACAACACCATACGGTATGCAATTCTTCAATAAAGTCTTTGTTTTCGAAGCTGCTTGTCATGGAACATTACCGTGGGGCAAAGCGAACCTCGAGAACTGGTGGTTCAAGGCCCAAGTGTAGGGATACGTCGACACTGTACACACATTTCGCACTGTACAGAGGGGACTTACATGCATGGGAAATTACATGACACTGCCAGTAATGTTGTGGCATTTAACACAGTATAGCGGAAACGCTTGTAACAATACGAAATCAATTTTTCCATACGAAGAAACACAGGAATGTCAGTTTTTTGCACTTTTCGCTCAGCAGATTTCATTCACTAGAGTGTCATAACAAGTAGCGTACGTTTAGTACAGCAAATGACAGCCACAAGATCATTTTAAAGCATGGCTCGCCAACGAACTTTGTTTCGATAACTGTGGTTGGTTGTACAACACTATTTGTGGGCAAGGTAAACTTCAAGCTGTGGTGGTTCAAGGCCGAAGTACTGCGATACCTGGGCACCATACAAGCAAGTGTGACAGTTTGCGAGGAGTGCGCTCGCTTTGTACATGCGTGGAAGGTTCTGAAGGTAGAGTTTCTGGTTTTTTTTTTTTTGAAGTCCACGAAGGCAAACAGTCCGACAATTTTTCCGAAACCCCACTCCACAGCCTGCCTCACACTACTCATGGCTTTGTTGAAAGCTAATTGTTCAGGAGTCAGGAGAGCTCCGCCATAGGGCTTGAGCAGAAGGGGCCGCAACGGGTAGGCAGGGTCCCCGTAGATGCAGTAGTCGTGACCTTGAACGAGGTTTTGTAGCTTCGTATACGCGGCGCTATTTCCAAAGTTACCTGAAAGAAAAAATACGATTAGCTGGAGCTGCGCCCGTTCCTAGCAGGGAAGGAGGAGGCGAGTGACGTTCAGCAGCGGTTTGATCCACCAGCTGTGCTTGTCATTTACTCGCCTCAATCGTGTTTGCTGCCGGGGTATGATCCGTCCAACTGGCAGATTATGCCATTTGGGCACATTATAGCTTGGTACTTCAGGGCGTGGACTCTCTTGTGGTCGCTGAAGTACACTTTCTGGTTCCTTGTTGGTCGGCATATTGGCTGCGCCGTGCCATCGATGAAGGCCCAGAAATTTGTCAGCGGGGCACCTTTCGCGTGAACGGCCTGAAAAAATACCGAACGAATATGTCAGGAAGTTGTAATTGCGAATGTACAACTCCAATTATTCTCGCTTGCCTGTGAGAACTCTTCCAGGGTGTCCAGGTTCAGCCACGTGTGGTTATTAACGTCGTCCAGAAGGTGGAAGAAGTTGTCCTCGATGTGCCTGAGCACTTCGTTCGTCAATGACGATAGGGTCGAGCTGTGTCGGTCGAAAAGGTGTTCCAGATCGCGCAGCCGGTTTGGGTAGGCTAGTCTTCTTAGCGTGATGCAAAGGGCCTCGTCGCCGGGAACTGACACCCTCTGCGGAGTTGTTACCTTGTCAGGTATGCACAAGGCTCTCTGTAGCCTGGGTGCATCGTCCTTTTCCAACCGAAAGTACGTTCTGAACACGCCACTGTCGATCGCATCAATGTCCAAAAGACCTCCCATGGAAAGTGGGTCACGCCGTGTCTCGCCCAGAACTTCTAAGCACAAGACGTCGACTATTTCGGACCATTTCAACCGAGTCAGGAGCAGGGGGTCCTGCAGTATGCTCTGGGGCATTGTTCAAAGCAGTTATCAGCGGCAATTTGCAGCGGCAAGCCACACACTGTCTGTTAAAAAGCGCGGCAACAAACAGCTGGCTTGGAGCTTCGACTTAAGTTGGCTTGGTGACGTACTTTCCTCAGTTTAACGACTTCGCTAAAAGATACAAATCACCGTTAAAGTAAAATAATATGTACTGAAACATAAAATTCGTGTTTGTATTGTGGTTTTAGCATCTAAAAATAAACCTTAACTTTTTTTTCCTATCAGGGTAGTTCAAATTTGAATGGACAGATGGCGCAGTACAACGCTTCGCTGGGGGCAGCAGCCGATCGCTCAGCTAAAACTCTTTTTTTCGCGCGTCGTTCCGCTGGCGCTGCGCTCGTCCGCTCCGGTTCGCTGGCCGCTGGCCCGCTCTGCTAAAACTCTTTAATATCTTCTACTCACGTGACTCAATGCATCATTCTTCTTGACAGTCACTTTTCGTCTTTGATCAAGCTAAAGGCTTCAATCAACAATAATTTGACGTAGGAGGATGAGATGCGCAGCTGGTCGTATGTACAACTGTAAATGTGCACGTGACCGAGTTGCGCCTCTGTCTACTCAGCGTCGTATGCAGCAGCCTTGTTCGTGTTCTCAAAATTAATTATTTAGATGTATATATAGGTTACCACAGACAAATCTTCAGTCTTGCCGCACATGACGCCTATGGTTGACAGGCGTTTTCGTTACGAAGAGCACATGATTCATGTTCATTCTTGCAGGTTGCAGCAGCGTTGAGAGGAGCGTCGCCGAGGCGAAGATGCTGTCTAGATCTTCTTTCTAGCGTTTCTCGCTATTCAAATTGTGTTCGTGTTTCTCGTAAGCGCAGAAATACAAGAAAAAGAGACGGGCATTCACTCTCCTCGCACCTGGTTTAATTAGCGTGATTAATTCACGCGTCTCGCGCGCACGAAACGAGTACCATGAGTGCGTGCAATTAAAATGAGGCCTCTGTCGACGTGGCTTTTTATGTCTTCGGAGCTGCGCCCTTGTAAGTTGAATTTTGTGTATTACAAGTTTTAAATGCGAAGCATTTCTTAGCCAACTTCAGCGACTTCGAGCGTATCTATCTATCTATCTATCTATCTATCTATCTATCTATCTATCTATCTATCTATCTATCTATCTATCTATCTATCTATCTATCTATCTATCTATCTATCTATCTATCTATCTATCTATCTATCTATCTATCTATCTATCTATCTATCTATCTATCTATCTATCTATCTGTCTGTCTGTCTGTCTGTCTGTCTGTCTGTCTGTCTGTCTGTCTGTCTGTCTGTCTGTCTGTCTGTCTGTCTATCTATCTATCTATCTATCTATCTATCTATCTATCTATCTATCTATCTATCTATCTATCTATCTATCTATCTGTCTGTCTGTCTGTCTGTCTGTCTGTCTGTCTGTCTGTCTGTCTGTCTGTCTGTCTGTCTGTCTGTCTGTCTGTCTGTCTATCTATCTGTCTGTCTGTCTATCTGTCTGTCTGTCTGTCTGTCTGTCTGTCTGTCTGTCTGTCTGTCTGTCTGTCTGTCTGTCTGTCTGTCTATCTATCTGTCTGTCTGTCTGTCTGTCTGTCTGTCTGTCTGTCTGTCTGTCTGTCTGTCTGTCTGTCTGTCTGTCTGTCTCTGTGCACCTTTTTCTAAATGTGACTTTCTGTATCAATGTTGGGTGTGCATTCCATCTTTATAGCGCCTTTTGTTTCTAGATGAGAGGTGATTCAATCAATCAGTGGTAGCCTAATAAATTAATTAGCGAGTGTTGTCCGCATTGAATCTCGTGCTTCTGCACTGCAGTACCGACTGGTGCCCATTCAGGCTCTTCCGTTTAACTATTTCGCTACAACAAGAAGCGAGATTCAGAAATAACGGACTTCTTTTTTTTTAATGAAAGCCTTATGCTTGTCATAGAGTCAAAAACCTTTTGCAGATTTGACGAGACCTGGCGATACCTGCTGATGAGACCTTGACCGGCGTCGCCATTAGAACGATTGATAAAAAACAATGTCTATGTAATTAAAGCTGGTCAGAAATCACGCAATATTGAAGTGCTTGAATATGTGCCAACACCGTATCGAAAGTCAACGTAACAGAACTTCATCAACGACAACAGTCTTTCACAAAGGGAGAAAAGCGAATATAAAAATCTTTGTTGACATTTTTATTGCTCTCTTGCAATCTCAGAGAAAGGAGGCTGCTGACGTTTTTTTTATTTTTGTACTTTTCTTCTTTTTTTTAGGATTTCGGATGCCGATGGTGAACTCAAAGTGGAAAGGGTCGGCGAAAAACCACTCGCTCACACGCTCCTTGACCCTAACGTGAGTTGAGCAGCTTTTCACAGTCGTAAAGATGCATGGCCCCGCCGCGGTGGTCTAGTGGCTAAGGCACTCGACTGCTGACCCGCAGGTCGCGGGATCGAATCCCGGCTGTGGCGGCTGCCTTTCCGATGGAGGCGGAAATGTTGTGGGCTCGTGTGCTCAGACTTGGGTGCACGTTAAAGAACCCGAGGTGGTAGAAATTTTCGGAGCCCTCCACTGCGGCGTCTCTCATAATCATATGGTGGTTTTGGGACGTTAAACCCCACACATCGATCAAATGCATCGTCGTAAGCAAGACCCGCTTGTTCTTGTTATATGAGAGCTTGGATGCTACTTTCTTTTTAGTTTCTGGTGTTTGCTATAAAGCTTTTACAACAGGTGTACACTGAAGCACTAAAAAAAAAAAGTTGTGATGTCGCGATACTAATTTCGCGCGGCGAATTTGAAAATCGAGTCGAAAGTTTGCATCAACCTATGCAAATTACATCATTCTGCCAAAAAAGAAGCTACAGGTACAGCAGCCGGTACCGCGAGTCTGACCACCGCCTGTGATTGGTCTAAGCTCCATGACATCATCGGCGGGTTGGTGAGGGCAGCTGACTGCGCTTGCCGGCAGGAGATGCCGGGTTTATCTGTTGAAAATGGGTAGTTGTTGTTAGTATGGCGAATTGTGGATGCCGCAGTGAGTTCGCTGTAGCCATATTCCGGGCATTAATTCGCCATCGCAAGTCTATATAAACCACGCACAAACACAACTAGTGAATGTCGGATGGCAAAAATTTCTAATAAGAAGAAGAGAATGCGGCAATGGCGTTCCCTTTTCCACGTAAGTGGTCCACAACATATTGTCGCGAGAGGAAACGACAAAGGGGTCGTTTCCTCTCGCGATACTGGGATAACTGCATCCGAAGCATGGGCTCTGTAATTGTCGCCTGGTGGACGAACTTGTTGGTGGGTTGGGCAAGAGGCCCGCGAAAAAGCTGTTCCTTTACGCCGCGCATTAACAGTCGTACTTTCTTGGCCTCTGGCATCTGCGGGTCAGCTCGTCGGGGCAGTAGCGACATGTCTTCAACAAACATGGCAACACTCTCGTTTGGATCTTGAAATCGTGCAGACAGTGCCTGCTCAACTCTTTCTTTCCGCTTGGAGTCGCAGAAGGTCTCACGAAGTAATCGATGGAGCTCCAGCCAACTGGTGAACGTAGTCTCGTGGTACTCGCACCGCACTCTTGCTGCATCAAGAAGGGAGGTGTAGTCGTTTTTCAACATACGGTGATTGTCTCAGTCATTGACGGCAGCCACCGGTCGAAGTGGTCCAACCAGTCTTCCACACCCTCACCGGGATTGCCGTGGAAAGGGTTAGGCGTGCACCTGTCTCGCGGCCCTTGGAGACAAGGGCATTGAGACCATTCGTGCTGTGTCATCTCTCTATGTATCAGTAATTGTTATCAGAACCGTTAGGTACTCATCTTCACTGAACACATTTATGTCACTCTCATGATTTTAATACATTTATGTTTCACCCGCCGTTAGCGCGAGGAATTTTAGGCCTCTACAAAGTCATCACACCCATTGCCCACATCTTTTGTATCATGTACTGGCGGTCTTTGGCCATCACGTCCCCTCGCACCAATAAACTCCACATATCACGATCATTAGTGATTGCATCATTTACATGCATTAACGAAAAAAAAAGCACCGACCTGGCTCAATGGTAGAATACTGAGCTGGCACGTAGAGCACACGCTTTCTAATCCCATTATGTCCTTGGTATTTTTTTTACTAGTTTTGTTATTTGGTGCGATAGTGGTTACAGACACCAGCGGCGGTGGCGGACAACTATGGTGCACGAGACCCTTGTGATCTCGTAACAGCGTTCGCTCTGAAAAAAGGGGACACACGCACTGCGCTCACTTCCAACTCTAGTTTTATTGAAAAAAAAAACGGCTTTAGAATATATATCGCATATTGTGTTATACCTTGCATCAAGCGGGATATATCAGCTGTATTATGCATGCCTTTTCTTGACTCCACCAGGACTGCTTCCTTCTGGATGGCGGTATGTCCGGTCTCTTCGTCTGGGTCGGCAAAGGAGCGAGTGCCAAGGAACGCAAGGAGTCCATGCTCTTGGCCCAGGTATGTTCTCGGACGTGTGACTAAACAATACGGACGAAGAAGACCAAAGCCTCGTTCTCACGATATCCTCCTCGCCTTGAGGACGTTAAATTGTGTCAATGCTGAGAATCTTTCGAAATATTACTTTTCATGAATATTAGAATTAGTTGTTGCGCACACACATGCTTATATTAGCAAAACCCTACATTGAAGCTGTAAATTAAGCCACTTGCCTAGATTACCAAAATCACGTTTTTTCGAAGTTTCAATTCTTTCAATATACCCCACATCTTTCTTCCTCCAATCAAAACACTATAAGAGAGCGAGACGCTTATATTGCAACTGGTGTCCCAATTTGTCCGTTCGCTCACTGTTCGCAGAAATACCTCACGTACCGCGGATACCCGGAGTGGTGCCAGGTGACGCGCGTCATCTGCGGCGCCGAGCCGCCCATCTTCAAGCAGTACTTCGCCTCCTGGAAGGAGCAAGAGCACAGCGGCGTTTTCGGCAGGAAGGGTGCGCTCAACCGCATTGCCGGTAAGGACGCCGTCGAGTGACCTGCTCGTCTGTATTATGAAAGAAGTCAGGACGTGCAGACACGGACACGAGAAGAGAAGCAAACAACGCAAACGCCATTTCTAAACTGACAGGCCTATGCTCGAGGAGGGGATGGATCGGAAGGATAAGGCTAGACTCTTGCCTCATTACCCTATTCTATAGAATGTCGAGGTGTATATATCCATCTTCTAGTCCCAAATTGGAAAGTGGTTGATTGTAGGCACCTTCAAACGGAAAATACACGAACCCTGGTGCATCTTAAGCTGCATGTTTCTGTAACTATACTGAGGCGAAATGTCAATTTCGTGATGATACAGCATCCACGTTAGAGAAAATACCTGGGTTTGTGGATAGCTCAGAAAGAAATCGCAGTCCCCCCAGATGAACTAGGGGTACGGTGGAGAACCGCGTTGACTAACTCAGATCTCCAGGGACAAACATTTCGGTGACCCAGCAAGCTACCTGAGAGGCAGTGTCTCTCTAGTGCCCCCTTGGCAGTCCTGAGCGAGGCCATCGATTTGCAGGTCATTCAGAAAAGTTGTCACGACTCGCACAAAATTTGTGCGCTCATGCAGGCTCACTTCTGGTAGTGCCAGATGTCATTCGGGTGCCAGTCGACTACGTGAGGGTTATCTGGTGAAGAAGTTTCATTTCTTCCTCAAGCAACTTAATGAAAGGCTGGCACGTGCGTGAGCTTTCTATAGTATTGATACGCCGAGCCTCAACAATTATACTCGTTTCTTCGTCGTTATGCCTGTATAAAACTGTGAATTCGTATAATTTTACATGTGAAGAAGCTCTTTGACTTGCCCGTGTTACGCTGTCCCTCAGTACAAGTGACGTCATGCTCCCCTCGCAGCGCGCGCGGACGTCACTCTCTCCCTTGCCTGCCGCGTGTTCGCTCTGCTACCATAGAGAAACATACTATATAAAAGGCACTGCGCCGCGGGGATTCGCTCGCAGGATTTCAAGCTGGACGGTTGTGCCCTCGCGATCTCCGACATCAGCGTAGCTCCCGCCGACTGGTTCGCCCTCCGCGGTCTCCTGACGCCGGGCAGCTCTCGCATTATGGCGCCCCGCCCTTGGATTGCTTCGACCGGATCCCCACTTTCCTATCTCCTTTTTTCCGTCGCTTGCCTGTCTTCTTCTCCGTCTATTTTCCTTCTATTCTTTTTATCCCTCCTTCCCCCCACCCCTATAAGGCACTGCGCCGTGTCGCCTGAAGGCAGACAGAAATTAGGTGCCTTTTTCCTCTTCATTCTAACCACCACCACCACCACCACCACTGCGCCGCGCTCCCGACCGGGCTGCAGAAATTAGGTGCCTTTATCCTCTTCTAACCACTACCACTATAGAGAAATGCTGCTACCGCGAATGCCGCTCGCTACACTACCGACTCGTCCGTTCACGCGCCATAAACCTGACGCGCGCCGAACGTACGCGTTTAAATACGTCTGTACGTGTCACCTGTCGCTCGCTTCACCCTCTACACCGCTCGCAACGCTCGAGCGCACATCGAGTGGTAACACTCTTTCATCCCGTTTATCTGCGATGGAGAAGACGCCGTAAGCCGACGCTCCTTCGCCCGCTGAAATTTCCGCCGAGACGATTACGCCTAAACAGGCCGTCTCCGGCATTGCGAAGGTTAGCGAAGCCGAGTGCGTTCGTGAATGGCGACGGCATTTGCTCGAGTGAATGCTGCACCGAGTTTCTCGTCCAACGGTTCATCCAGCACCCGCGTCGACGCTCGTTTCAACCGAGTCAACGCCGTGCACACCGCTGCTGCTTCGCGTCCTATGAGGGTTCCGGGGAGATGGCCAAAGTCTTTTGCATGCATTTTTATTGTGCAGAATTAAACAAAAGCTTGGATGGTGATCATCCGGATAAGGATCATTTGTGATGATCAGTAGCGTTTATAGGCGTTAGGATCGCTTACGACCAAATTGGGCTAAATAATCATTTGTGCTGTGTTGGTGGACTACTAATTTTGTCTCTGTCTCAGAGACTATGAAAGTCGGACTAATGTATTCTTGCTGTAACTCAAGATAGATATTTGTGATCTTCTAAAACTGCACATAAACTATAGACAAACACTTGAGTTGAGGCATCTGATAGTTTGTTTCATCATATAAGCGTTCGTCCGTAGTTTTCACACTTCTTTAGACGTCCTGAATAAAAGGGCAAGGCTTTTCAAGATATTACTCAGTGGGTGGGCCAAGGAGTTTTCTAAAATAATTGTTGTAGTGAAAATTTTCGCCCACGAGTGAAACCATGCCAACAGCAAGATGGCGGCTGCGGCAGCCATCTTACTAGGGGCATAATGAGCTGTTGGCCTTCGGCGATTGAGAAGGCGCGTTTTCCTCGCACACCCAACGAGTTTAACGTGGCAACCTTTTCGGGTAAGATAGTGCTCAAAGTGCGTCCTTGTGTTACTAGTTTTCTTTAGTATGCCTCGATTTCAAGGGAACCTTTATTGGAGATTAAGTCACCGATACTAGTCTCTACGGATTATTTCTTCGGAAACAACTATCTTTTAATTTATAATTAAAGTAGCCTTTAGACTAACAAATCAAAAACCTCTTGATGTCTAAGTGGGTACCACCAAAAAAATAACATGATTTTAAAGTCTTTGGATAGCAAAACCTTCCTTTACTTTTGCTTGCAAATCATTGCGGGAGCTTTCATTCCAGCAATTTTTCAAACCTCCTTGGAGCAGACTTGGTGTCCTCTTTAAGTGACAATTGCTTAAACACTTATTTTCCTATTTTCTTACTGTTTTCTATGTTTACATGAACAACACCATAACAAAGGGTCTCTAAACAGACTTATTTCGCGAGATGTGCCAAAGGTCATCCTGTGTTGGGGGTGCCACTTTATATATTGGATCGCACGTACATTCAACAAATGACAGTAGTCGCTTGATGCCACGAAATCACACGTAATATGTCCGCCAAGCACTGATCTCAACAATACAATTTAATATTCCATGTTATGTTGCGAGGTTCAGGTGTGCATCACTTCATAAAGCATCGTGCTCACCAGGAACACAATGACGCCGCCTAGCGAACCGCCTCCACAGTTCCATTCAAAATAATGGCCTTCCTCTGCTTTCTGCCATCCCTGTTCTCCTCAAAATTATGGCGCTCAAACATAGAGGTGCTCGGCCATCCTCCACAAACTTCAGTGAAGCGTCCGCTATGCATATGTGTTATTGAGTAATGATTCATTCATTGAAGAATCTAATCTCTTAAATATCACTCGTGTTTTATTTTGTTAAGGACAACGCAACAATGAAAGCCTTCAGCTCTTTTGGCAGGCTACGCCGCAGGTTTAACTTTTGAATGAGTCACTCATTTTCGTTCTTCAGAAATGGACAAGACGTTCAACGTGAGCGACCTGCACCGCGAGAAACGACGCCTTTTGGCCAAGAACCTGGGCAAAGCCTGTGGTTTCATGCCGGATGATGGCTCTGGAACACTGGAGGTAAGCCAGACCACTTGTTATACTACTTGGATGATGTAAATGCTGGCCTCCCTCGAAGCTATAGGCTCTGCAAACACAAACGTGTTTCTTTGTCAACTTTAAATAATTCGCATCTATTTCATAATTACTGCACTGCAGTGATAAACTACAAGAAATGTCTATTAAACTTCGCTTGCTTTTATGATGCTTTATGAGGGCGAAAGGTTTGTGCGAATGCTTCCGACTTAATTGCGCATGCTGCAGCGAATTCACTTCCTCTCTTCTCTCGCTCTTTCTCCCCTTCCTTAATCGTCCAGTGTAGGATAACAAACCGTGGAAGCATTCATGGTTAACCTTCTGGCCTTCTTTCTTTACGTTTTCTTCCTGCATTGTTCGTTGGATTCACTAGGTTGCCTCCTGCAAAAAAAAAAACAAAAAAAAACGAGCATCCCGGATCATTTCCTTGCTTTCGTTCTTTACCTTTGATGCGACACGTAAGGAATAAATGACGATGTATAGATTACAGTCAAAGACAAGGGCAGTGGTTATTGCGACTCTCATTCTTACTTAATGCACTTACTTTCTGAAAGTGTGCGTTCCATTGTATAGCGTCAATCCTGCCTGGGCGTGCAGATATTCATATTCCCTGACAGCCTAAATATATTGGATCAGTATTATCGATTTCTCCACCATCAGGCACCTTTATCTGCAAAAGAGAAAACGTTTGCGCGAGTTGGTTGCTCTTCATAAACCAGGGTGCATATGAGAACACGGGGCAGAAAGAGCGCTTGTCTCTTTCTGTCTCGTGTTCTTATGTGCGCTCTGTTCTACGAAGATGCTTTAGCTGACCGCTCCGGTCAGCTAAATGTTTGCGATCTGTCCTAGTCAGACCTGCGTATGCTTTAACTCCCGGATTACTTTTCTTGGCTATGCAGCGAAAAATAGAGCTACATAACGCGTATCTCACCGATAATTCATGTAGTCCCACAATCGTGTCCTTATTTGTTTCGTGAGAAGCAAAAAATATGGCCTTAAGTTTTTGCATGTAGCTCTTTGAAGCGGATGTAGTTCACACTAAGGAGATAACAGTACTTGTTATAATTTATACATTCTCACTTCGCGTTCTTGCGCGCAAGAAAATGCCGCGCCTGTGACTTGTATCGGGAACTCTATTCGACGTCTGCGTCGATATGAAACGCTGATCGCGTGAAGCAACCACTTTTCATAGCCTTGCGGAACGCCTGCCATACCGGACTGCTTCTATAGTAGTACATGTGCATACCCCGCCCCTGTAGCTTTCGCCTCATTTCCAAGAAAATTTGTCCGCGAGTATAGTTATTTTTACTCGAACGTGTAGAAGGAAGAGTAGAGCGCGTGCGCAGAACGATGACGGGAGCAGCGGAACGTAGAACGCATATCTTGCTACGCTTAAGAAGTCAGTTGACCGGCGGGCGCCGGAGGGTAAAGCTGCGTCTGGGTTTTGCCGTCGTTTTGCAACCAAGCTGACCGTGTCTCGGCGAAACGCCTTCGTCGCGAACGCGAAATCTTTACAGTTCCTTGCACTTCTTCGGGACGCTACATGGACGGCGTGACCATGGCCGTAGCGTGGCTGAGCGTGAGCGCCACTCAGCAGAATGTGCTTATTAGTGTTTTATTGAGACACATCGCAGAAAGTACACCTGTACTGAGATGCCTAAGTATATTACGTCTGTGATTTATGTGTCAGTGTGTCTGTATATCACAAGGCAAACGATTCAAAGCACTGTGTACTGTACTAAATTCAAATTTTCGCCCCGCCGCGGTGGTCTAGTGGCCACAGTACTCGGCTGCTGACTCGATTGATATGTGAGGTTTAACGTCCCAAAATCACCATATGATTATGAGAGACGCCGTAGTGGAGGGCCCCGGAAATTCCGACCACCTGGGGTTCTTTAACGTGCACCCAAATCTGAGTACACGGGCCTACAACATTTCCGCCTCCATCGGAAATGCAGCCGCCGCAGCCGGGATTTGAACCCGAGACCTGTCGGCTGCTGACTCGCAGAATCGAATCCCGGCTGCGGCGGCTGTATTTTCGATGGAGGCGAAAACGCTGCAGGCCCGTGTGCTCAGATTTGGGTGCACGTTAAAGAACCCCAGGTGGTCGAAATTTGCAGAGTCCTCCACTACGGCGTCTCTCATAAACAAATGCTGGTTTTGGAACGTTAAACCCCTCATATCAATCAATCAATTTCAAAATTTCAAAATGTCTTTAGTAGAACGGATAAATAACTTATATATACCACTGTGTACTCTCCCACGGCCTCTTGATTGACCACGGCATATGGGAAAACTACTGACGATTTGCCATATTTGTAATGATGTATGGGTGCGTTTATAAAAAGTTGTTAATGATTTAGAGTACTTGGTATTTAACTATGGGAGAGTATAAAGCCGTCCCGTGGCCTCACACTCGGTGAGGCTGTGTCGACAAACAATAACGCTGTGAATGAATTAGGGTGGATAGATTACTCGACCACTTTGCGCGAATTGGGGAAATATAAAGACAACACGCAATGCTTGTGGCCTGGACTTTTTGACCATCTGTCTGTAAGGAGGCTCAGGCTTGACACTAGTACTGTCAGATGAACAACCATGAAATTAAGTGCTGATGACAAAAACATTTCTATTTTCCTAATCGTCCGGATACTGCTCACAGTTGCCGCATTTATTTTTGTAATTATTCTTTTTTCGGACTGTGTTTTTATCAAATCGCCATTATTTTTGCCTCAGATCTTCCGCGTCGAGAACTTCGAGCTGGCTCCGATAGACCCGGCTATCTACGGTTTCTTCTTCGGTGGGGACAGCTACGTCATCAAGTACACCTACAAGAAGGGCTACAGCGAGCGCTATATCATCTACTTCTGGCAGGTGCGTACAGTTTGTGGCGGCTGCATGGGCTTCTCTGCCAATCACGGTGTAAGAAAAATAATTTAGGGGCAGGCACTCTCCCCGATGGCGCGTCCTGATAACGTTCGCTTCTTTTCTCCTCTCGGCCCCCATGTCGCAGCGCCCCCCACGCAACTGCGGCCGGCGCATGTACTCTATAGAAGACGAGCAGCGTGCGTAGCATCCATAACGGCGGTGTCCACGTGAGAACTCAGCATTAGAAGTATCATGTTTTTTTTTGTTTGTTTTTTTCGGGGACCAAGCTCCTCCACACGTGGGTCGGTCGTCTCCGATGTGTGTAGTGCTAGCCACCTCGTTCCAGTAATTCGCCGCGAGGGGATAGTTGTTGGTGGATTTAACCAATGCAGACGTTATGAAACAGATGGCGTCCGTGTAGTTTCACGATAAACAAGCAGAAAAAGATGTTATACTTACGCTCGGGGGCACTTTTAAGGGGCGAAGCTCCTTAAGCCGTGGTTCGTGCGTCCACGAGGTATGTAATAGTTGTCTTCGTCGCAGTGGTAAGTAGCCACCTCTCGTTTAGTGCTTGGAATGCTCGTTGGATGACAGTGCTTCTATATGATGAATATGTGATGAAAAGATGCGAGATGCGGTACTCGGACTTCACTATATGGACGGACGGATTCAAGGACGGACGAATGGAAGCGCGGACGGACTGACAGATGCTTCGGCCCACTCATCATCATTTACTCCGAGGACATGCTGAGATTTTTTTTCTTACACTGTGAAGCCAAGTATTTTGGTAGCGAGAAGCGCCGTATGCGTTTATACCTCTAGTTGCTGCTAGTACGGTTTAAAAAAACTATGAGGTAAAAAGAGAGAAAAACGCGTGTTCGCCTCGTCGCGCTATCGGTTTCTTAAGCCCCCATGTAGCAGCCCCCCGTGCGAACTTTGGTCGGCGCACGTAGTAAAGGCGAACATTATTTGGGCGCGCTCACCGAGGTGGTAGGCGGACAGTGTCCACACCTTATTTTTTAAAGACGATAGTCTTTCTTGGGGACCTTTGAAAGAAAAATTTTGGTCTGTCTGTCTGTACATTTATCTGTTTGCCCACTCTTAGCGATACCTCAAACGGCCGACCCCATCCGCAGCGCCCACCAATATTGCTCAAGCTTTAGCGTTCATACTTGTGCGATTGTAAAATCAAAAACAATTGTGGCGCATATCTGAGGTACCATAACAACACGTCGATGTTTGGCATGTTTGCCTTTATACTAGAAAAGGCACACTCAAGTAATTATAAGGAACATAGCGTTAAACACGCTGCGCTGGCAGTGCGATGCGATGCTCAAAAAGGCAAGTGTTACCAACGCTTTGCTAAAACGAATGGTGGTGGCACCTGTCCGTCACTTCGCGTTCTACACCTTATCGCCCCCAAGAATGGCACGCAGCTTTCTCCGCAGGTTCGCACGACTTCCTTCGTTTTCGACAATAAATGCCAGATGGCGCTCGTGTATAACGTGCCTTGATGCGCTCGTTCGCTATTGCTGCACGCTCGAAACGCTCCAATGCAGCGCCTCCAGAATACCATTTACCAATTTTCTTGCGCAGAACATCAAATAAATGTTTTGTTTACTTCCTCCGAATGCAAGACTATCGTCTTTCGACGACATTTGCAGTGTAACATGCAGATCCGATGCCATTTTTTTCTTGCACAGTGCTGCCAATGAAGTAAATATAACGTGATAATACTTTTCATGGTCACAGCTTTGCATATCACGTGTAATACATATCATCAGTCTCCAGGGGCTCCGTGCAAGCCCCCAACTCAAAAGCGTTTTCTACGAAGTAGGTGATTATCGTCATCATTATCAATAACAACATTACTTAACTACGTTATGTTCACCACAGAGAGATGCCTTTTCGATAGATCTCCGAGGTACCCTATCTTGTGCAGGGTGATTCCATTTTTTACCTGTGAATTGCATAATTTTATCGACGCGTCTAACCCGTTTCTATCCCATGTTGCTCGTTGTCAATCCGGTTGCTCTAACTGACCACTTATTGTCTGCCCTGCGCAATATTTGGCGCCATATTCCCACTCAATGTGGACGAGAGTATCGATTACACACGTGTGCTCGTTGGTTCATTCTGCTTCCTTCTGTTTCTTTATTTTTAAGTTTGGAGCAATTTAGGGGCCAGAATTGTCGTATGCTGTCGTTGTCGTATGTAGCCTGGCGTAAGTCTGGTAGGACGACGCATGGTCATCTCTAGCATATTGTGCGCTCGCTCGGACCAGCGGGAAGTCCTCTTCCATCTGATCTTCGAGTGCCCTGATGATATCATGTGTGGTGAACTTTAGAGAACCGGTCTGTTTTACGCTGTTGGTATAAAAAAGAAAAGAATAGAAAAAACAAGTACGTATAAAACAGACAGAAAAAGGAAGCAAACGAGAAGCTGAAAGACGGAGACAGAGAACAAATAGGAAGACAAATGGAAATAAATGAAAGAAGCAAACGAAGAAAGGCAGAAAAACACGAAATATAAAAAAAGGGGGGGGGGGGAGGGAAACACGAAGAGAAACGAACAAGCCTGCCAAGCGATGCACTTAATTCAGGCTTGCCGCCATTAGTGCGAAGCTAGCACAACTTTTTTTATGGCGATCATTGAGAAATAAAATAGTGGAATGATGTAGTATTCTTTTGTTTTCGATGAAGCTGGTAGCTTATGTCTGACTGCTGCAGTGATCAATTGTTGATGTATATGCTGTCTAATAAGCTTTCGTGGTGGAAGCTTGCCTTATACTCGTTGTTCGAGACCCACTGTAGAGAGCTAGCCTTGTGTTTTGGTGAAAAGGAGCTCCTGTCCCCTTCGAGGGTTTCTTCCATTCCTGCCGTATATAGCATAGTTAAACAGAGCGTAGATGTATGAAATATTAGTGAACTGTAAGCTTCTAGGACAATTAGGTCGTTTGAAATATAACAAGTAAGAAAGAACGTAACTGATGTTTTACTTGCAAATTGATTTTCTTTCTTTGGTCTGCTATAATTGCATAAATTGATCTGACCTTGTCATACTGCATGGTGATCGTGTGCGTCGACTACTTCAATATAGCTGCTAAGTTAAAGTCTAGGAAATGACCGACAGTCTGAAGTTTCCTGGGATGCATATCTGTTCCTACAAACCTAAAGTTGCGTCGTTTGCCTAGTTATAATGTTGTTACATTATTTCTACATTACTCACATTTTGTTAAATCCTAAATTACTGACAAATCAAGCTTTTTGCACTGGAACGAGCTCACTGTGGAGCTTCGAGAGTCTTAACGAATTGACTGTATTAAGTGCACCGTAGTCGAGAACCGATAAACGTTACTCCTTTTACGGGTTTTCTAATTAGCTCTTCCTTTTGACACAGCTGCTAGAACGTGCTGCCGTTTCCGAGAAGGGGGGGGGGAGGTGTGATGTTGAAAATGTGTTGTTCCTTGGCACATGCACTCAGCGTGAAAAAATTTTAACACTCGCTGATTAACAAGACGTGCTTGACATTACAGGCGCAGTGGCGAAACCACAAATCGCGTCTTAAACCACCACACTGACATGTGCTCTGACGTCACGTGTATACTATAGCGGTTGACCTGCGAATTTGAATCTAAGAAGTTTCAAAGGAAACTGGGCTTGCTTGTCCTTGTCACTGAAATATCGCTGTTGCATTTCTTCTTGGGTCTGCATGTCTTAATGAAACAATTAGCGTTTTTTTTTTGCCAGATTAGTTGGGGTGCTCAGTTAAAAAGTAGCACAGTATACTTTGTTTCAATGAGAGTTCTCTCCCGCGATGACAGGGCTGCGTTTACTACTGAAGCACAGCACGGGTTGTTTGATGGCATTCGCCACAAAGGTCTTTTTTTAGCTGCGCTAACAAACGCGGACAAGAGAAGACTGAAAAAAGACTGTATGGGGAACAGCGTGCCTAGACGGGACAGAAAGCCAGAAAAAGCACACATACAGCGCTTACTGACAACTGAGTTTATTATCGGGATACAGGCACTAGACAAGAAAAAAATTAAGTGATGTCACAGCACCACTAAAGCGAAGCGTGCCCACCGTCATGTTCTTCACCTGTATTCAGCTCTTGAGCAAACAGATTTCTTTTTGGTAAAAGCAACGGAAGGAGAGTTGACACATTCTTGATCTCTCTTAAAAATCTCCATGGCTTACCGATGCTCTCGTGACAGCCTAGGTGCATATACCGGCCTATCGCTCTGCACTTTTCGCATGAAGCTTGACATGCAAAATCTGCGACGGTGTTGCTGAGTTGCTACTCCGGAATCGGAATGAATCCACAGTCATTCCACAATTTCCGATCCCGGAATGGAATGGGAATAGAATGGTGACAAAGCTTGGAAGAATTGAACGCGAATGGAATCAAGCGCATTTTTTCGTGGAATGGAATGGAAATGAATCTACGTCGTTTTCCGAAAATAGAGCACATTTTCGTCGACCTGCCGGTTTGGAAATCTCAATCATTAGTAACTCAGACCCTCGAATTTAACAATAAAGCAGTGATTTGAAAAGGCTTGGCTGATTGCAAGCATGGTACGTTTAAAGCAACGTACCTACTATATTTCTGTCCTTGTATAGACTGTGTTGCCCCGAAGTTTCTCTCTAGTCTTCGCGTAACCACGGCTTTATGCCATGGTATCCGTTTCGTGGAACTATATGGTGACGGCATACCCACCTTATACCCTGTGATTTTTAAACGAGGATGCATTCCTTAGTCGGGCTATGTCAGGCCTGTACTAAAGTGCTTATTTGGGCCGGTTGGTACATGGTCAACGAAGTGAAAAAACAGCGCGTAACACAGGACACAGGACAGAGAAGAGACGGACGAGGCGCTGACTTACAACCAAAATTTATTTCGTACAGGGGTGTATATATAGCACACGAAACTTGAAAAAAGAGGGAGAGAAGTCGAGTGACATGAAAGAGTAATTTTCGTTATGATTGTATGCGTATAACAAATAA